ATGAAGAACAAATGGGCAGAAACTGTAGTTAATGTCTAACAGAAACTGTAAGACATCGCCTAAAGGAAATGGGATTTACATACAGAAAAGCTAAAAGAAAACCCATCAATAACACCTAAACAGAAAAAAAAACAAAGTTGCAGTGGGCTAAAGAAAAGCTAAAGATGGACTGTGGATGACTGGATGAAAGTGATATCCAGTGATAAATCACCAGTCTGCATTAGGCAGGGTAATGATGCTGGAACTTTTGTTTGGTGCCGTTCCAATGAAATGTATAAAGATGACTGCCTGAAGAAAACATGCAAATTTACACAATCATTGAGGGTATGGGGTTGCATGTCAGGTAAAGGTACAGGGGAGATGACAGTCAAAAATTTTTCAATAAATGCACAAGTTTATATTGAGATTTTGGATACTTTTCTTCTTCCATCAGTTGAAAGGATATTTGGTGATGATAACATCATTTTTCAGGATGATAATTCATCCTGAAACTGCAATAAGAGAAAGTTGGAGCTGGATAGATGAAGAATACTATTTGTCGATAGTTAAATCCATGCCTCAGAAAAAATTCAAGATGTTGTAAAAGCCAGAGGTGGTGCAGCAAAGTACTAGTGGTGTGCTGTGATGGTTTTTTTCATGATTCCATAATATTTTCCTCATAATTGACTGATTCTATATTTTTTTTTTCCTCTGCTTGATCTGCAAAAAAAAAACAGTTGCAACTGACTACACTTTGCTTTTTTTTTTAAGTTTTTCTTAAAGACAGAAGGTTGGAAAGTTAAATGAAAAGAGTTTTGAGACATGTCTGTGATTAGTCTTTTTTTCTACAAAATTAAACAATTGAATGAACGTTTTCCAAGAGTGGTGATTCCATACCTTTTGCCAGGGGTTGTATATACCATTTTTGTGTGTTTTTTTTAGTACTGCTTTAACTACTGTTTAAAATGTTCAAACATATAATAAAATCTGTGTTTTTTTTTTACATACACAGATAAGATGTCCCATTAAACCAAAGATGTACTAAATATACTGTATGTACCTGGATTTGTATACATGTATCTCTTCTAAATCACATATTTATTTCTTGCACATATAATTATTCATTAAGTTAATTTACTGGAACAATGTCCACCTGATAGGAATATCTTATGAATCAAAAGCAGATTGCATTATGAAATAATAAACACAGTAAATATAAATATGTAACTTTAGAAACACTATTGCATGTACATTGTATAATATGCACCTCAACTTAGAGACTAATGCTAATGCCACATACTGTATATATTGAACCCTTGCACATTTCATAAAATCATGCACAAGTTATTTCATGAAAGAAATCTTTTGAAATTGTCATTTTTTCAGACATTTTGGGAAAATGCAGGAAATAAAAGTTATTTATTTTTAAAGTTTTCAATAAGATATTTCAAACGCACAGCATATATACAGTTAGAATTACACCCAAAACACATTCTGCTACTCTTCCTGAATATGGTAATACTTCATGTGTGAGACTTTTTCACAGTCTAGTCATACAGAGAGGCACAAAATCGAAGGAGCGCCTTCATAAGTTCCAATGGCATAAATTATTATTTACTATATATACTTTGCTGACTACAGCTCACATTTTTGGAGGCCTTGGAGCACCAGGACAGTGGAAACACCCACACAATTACCACATTTTGGAAATAAAACATCCCAAGGTATATTTTAATCACTTCAATACTGGACACTTTTACCCCCTTCCTGCCCAGGCCAATTTTCAGCTTTCAGTGCTGTCACAGTTTCAATGACACATGCAACACTTTACCCAAATATATTTTTATAATAAAGTTTTCACAAATAGAAGTTTGTTTTTGATGAAATTTGACCATCACTGAGTTTTTTTTTTTATTTCTTGCTAAATAGACAAAAAAAAGACTGAAAAGTTTTAAAAAAAAACACCTTTTCTTGGTTTCTGTTATAAACTTTTGCAAATAGATAATCTTTCTTCATAAATTTAGGCCAAAATGAATGTTGCTACATTTCTTTGGTAAAAATAACCTAAATCAGTGTATATTATTTAGTCTGTAGGAAAGTTAAAGTCTACAACTTATGGTGTATATATTTGAAAAATCGATCAATCCTGATATATGAATGGTCTCATTTCTTGAGGCCCAAAAATAAATACCCCCCAAGACTCCTTTTTGGAAATTAGGCAGTCCAAAATATTTAAAAAGAGGCATGGCAAGTTTTTTTGAAATTTTTAATTTTTTGGTAAATTTTTTTAGAAAATGAAGAAATTAATTTTTTTTTTACATACTTTCACTAGTGCAGTACCATGTCATCATATAACTGGTGTGTCGGTTATCAGGGACACTGACTGGTGACAGTAATATTTATTTTTTTTTTTTAAAACATGTATTTTATTACATTGATAATCACTGTTATAAGCAATCATTTGTTGTGACTGAATCTATTCAGTGTATATTGTTGTGATTATCTAAAACCATACATTTAACACACTCTCTTTAGTGTTCACAAACATCATACACTGATAATGTCCCCTTAAATCTGCAATCACCATGGGCAATTTATGCTTGAAATAAATTCCCCAAAAAATCCTTTTCATATTCAAAATAATAAAGTGATAAAAAGTCACAAAAGTGCTTGTGAAAATAAAAGATCCAAAAGATAAAGAAGATGGCACTATTGGCATCAGTAACCAATGCGCATACGCTTAAACATAATGGCGTCACATACTGTGCCCCACCCACCTGATGCAGCATTTCATTACAAATAACATCCTCAGGGACTTTATTTCAATCATAAATTGCATGTGGTGTATTGTAGGTTTAAAGGGTCATTACCTATGTTTGATATTTGTGAAGGAGAGGAGAAAGGACTGAGGATAGCGCTTTACCTGTATAGTTTTATGTTATTATTAATATCTGTATGTGGCTATTTATGTTGGCAGCTTTCCATTTACATTGTATTTAATCCTGAGTTATGATTTATAACACATTTTCACACAATTTTGGTATGTTTGTGTTTATTAGTGCAGAGTTTTTTTTTTTTTTGGTTTTTAATATTGTTGTGAATAGCTGTGATTGGTCACAACTAATCACGTGGTACAGGTGGGCTGTGATTGGCCCTGTCTTTACCATGTGATAACTGTGACAAATCATAGCAAGCAACACAATAGTACACAGTGAATATCTATGAATGGATGCCATTTGTTGTGTACAATTGCCATGCTATCTGCTGTGATTGGTCTCAGCGATCACATTATACCGTCAATGGCCGGTACACTGATCTGTCATCCGCTATATCTGGTGGACACAGCAGGTGACAGATTGTGCTGCAGCGTGGTCCATGGGGAGGATGTCATATGGCATCCACCCAGAATGGGAGAGCTCCTGCCCAGCTTATTGCAATATGAGAAGCAGTTAAGAGGCATGGTGACTCTTTTGAGGGCTTAATTTTTTATCACAAGTTTTTGATAAAGGCAGAATGAAAATGAAATATATATATTTTTTTAACACAAATTTGTAAATTTTATTGGTCCTGTACAATATGATCACTGGGACCAATCACAGCGGTCACAGTAATAAGTAAAACAGAGTGCAGCGCTAAAAAATATATAAAGTGTAAAAGAAGATAGTTCGTGGTTAATAAATTGATTCATATAATAATCCAGGAAATAATGGAAAGAATGCGCACTCACTGGACGCGCATGGAAAATGCACATATAATGAATATCCACTGGAATCTTTATAGTAGATGAAGAGGGTAAACTTCAATCTGTAGGTCAATCAGCCTGGGAAAATATATGGGAAGTCCGGAGGTCCCCTTAAGGATGGTATGGTGCTCAGCCAGAATCCAAAGCTCTGTCCTCTGGTGGTAGTAGGTTAAAACTACAGGGATCCTGCAAGTTGATTTAGCTCCCAATAGGAGCCAAAAAGACAGGTGCCCATAGTGTAGTATTTTAAACAAATGTATTAGACCAAATATAGTGGTGAGTACAGGGTAGTAATGGCTGTGTGAAGTATATGATATACAGCAGAGTATGCAGCGATGATACTGACCCTAAGTTAAAATGGCCGCTATCTCGTGGCTCCGGGTGGGAAATGACATCATGCTCTGTCGGTTCCTCCTAAGGCCTTTCGTGCCAAAGTACATCATCAGAGGGGAAAGCCATGTATACCATTACTGAGTGTAGTTGCTGTGATTAGCAACAATTATCACATGCTATAAGGCCAATGACATTGGCCAGAGGAGTGAAGAACTGATGAAACTGCTTCACAACCCTTTACTGTATATACATTGGCTGGGGGGAGGGAGGAAGCAGTTAAAATGCAGTACAGTGAAAGGGCTTAAATGCTGTGTACAGTCAGCTCATTTTTATAGGTTTATTTGGTGAAACAAACACACCATAATGCTTATTTTTTGTTCAAAATTTGGCCTAATGCAAGTGCTTAGATACTGTGTCACTAAAATATTTGGGGGCTTTTTCTGTGACATACATCAACTCTACATGTAATGTATATCTAAGGCACACGTTCATGTCAATGGCGATTGTGCCACACATATGCGTTATTGCCATGACTGTTTTGAGTAAAAGCAATAAGTTCAGGGCCATAATTCACAGTTAACTCTCAAATGATAACCTGTAAAGATTTTTAAAGTGTCACTTATGGACAATGAATAATCATAAAAATTTTAATATAATAATAAATTTAATTCAATAATATAATCAAACCAAAACACTGAAATTTGAAATATAGCGCCAAGTTTGCACATCACTGAGCAAAGTCGCAAAATCGTTTTCAGTGTCTGATGATGAATTTCCCCACAAATCATTATCCTCCAATTCTGCAAGTAGTTCTAAATTACTATCGCTGTTCTCTAGCTGGTCTAAAACCACTTTTGACATAAAGAAATGCTTTTTGGACACCATGTTCCAGGCAGAAAGAACAGTAAAAATGTAGGCGGGGCACAGGACAAAGCACTAGGGACAAATGTACGTGAAAAGGTTTGATACAGTAATGTTTTACTATGTTATTTTAGTGAATTTAGTGAACTTTTTGTCATTATCAAATTTCCCGCCGTTCCGTCTCCGTATGTCCCGACATCGCAGGGGACGGAACCCAGAAGACAGATTCCGGCATCCGCCGGAGGACATTACAGGGGACACTGCAGGAGGGACATCGCAGGAGCGCAGGACAAGGTAAGAGAAGAACATATCCCGGAGCAGCACCGCATGGTAAGCCCGAGTGTAGCTCGGGGTTACCGCTTGTGGTACTGAAACTTTACCCCGAGCTACACTCAGGAATACCACCAGGGAGGCTAAACCCTTTGCTGCACCAATCAGATGATATAATAAACTGTTTTTATATTGTTTTACCGACAGCTCTGTTCTTTTTTTTTTTTTTCCATAAAGTTTATTAATAAACTCAAGCATACAATAAGTACAGGTAATACAAGGCATCAGTCGGAAATACACTAGGAGGTAATGCACATATGGCGAACAAAAAGATACATAGCAATACATAGACAAAGAATCAGAAGTAAGTCATCCCAGGGGAAAGAAAACGGGAAAAATGAGAACATGTGAGCGCAGGAACATTAAAGGCATATCTGGTCTCAAGCCCTTATTCAGCATATTGGAATCACAGCACTGGCAGGGTCAATGATATATAACCTCAGTTACCGACCAGCAGCAAAGAGCAGGGCCAGTGAGTCAAAGGTATGTGTTGGAAATGAATACAGTAGGTGTGGAGGGGGGGTGCAAGGGCTTGTGGGATATGGCTTTGTACTTTTGATGAAACTGATGTAACCCACTACAGGTTGGTAAAGGGTTCGGGAAATGAGATATGTAAAAGTAAAACATATGAGCAGCTGGATTGCAGATAGGGTGTAGGGCTCCTATGAGTAGAGAAGTGTATCAAAATAGAAAGGGGAGAATGAAAGCTAAACTCTGAGTAAGAAAGCAGGGAAATGGGGATTAAGAATAAGCATGAAAAAGAAGGGAAGAGAGGAGAAGAAGAAAAAAAAAAAAGGGGGGGGAAGAGATGGGGGTTTGGGGAAGGGTCGGATGGGGAGGAGGTGTGGAGGAGTAGGAGGGTAGGTAAGTCACCTTTACTCTAGACTCCCAGGGTATGAGAGATTCGCGCAACCCTGGCAGAGAAGCAAGCTGAAGACAGTTGCAGGCGTATCAGGGTGCCAAGCGTAGCTTGCTCCAAGCAGTACAGGACATCAAGATAAAGGACCTCAATCACAACCTTGAAAAAACAGAGAGCTGATATATCACCAGAAACACTACGGGGTATCAGAGAGATTCAGAATCAATCAGCAAGGCCCATGAAAGAACGATATTCAGGGGTCGTTTGGAAGTGAATCCAACAGGACCACGTACGAGAAAATTTAGTAGGGTTATCCAGAGAAGAAGCAATCAGCTCTTCCATTTCAGCAATTCTCTTCAGGCGTATGAACCAATCTCACACTGTAGGGGGTGAACAGACCCCCAGATAACCGGTAAGCAGAGTTTGGCCGCCTTTAAGCATATGCATAGCCAGAGATTTCAAATATAGACGTTTGGTAATCGGACTGTGGTGGAGGAGGAGTTGGGCCGGAGAGAGAACTCAATATCAAGAGTAGACACCAAAGAAGTAATTCGATGTACCTCCTGCCAAAAGGGCTGAATCATAGGGCAGTCCCACCAGATATGAAGACGAGATCCAACAGGAGCCCCACATCTCCAACAAATACAGGGTCTGGATGGATTAAAATGATGGATTCTAGAAGGTGTATTGTACCAACGTGTCACCAACTTGTATCCGTTTTCTTGTGCCAAAACATTCAAGGAGCACTTATGAGAAAAGGTAAAGATTTGGTCCCAATCAGAGGAAGAAAAGTCAATGTTTACCGTATTTTTCGCTCCATAAGACGCACCTGACCATAAGACGCACCTAGGTTTTAGAGGCAGAGAACAGGAAAAAAAAAATTCTGAACTAATGGACTGCAGACATAGTACAGGAGATGACCAGAGACTGCGGACATAGTACAGGAGATGACCAGAGACTGCGGACATAGTACAGGGGATGACCAGAGACTGCGGACACAGTACAGGGATGACCAGAGACTGCAGACACAGTACAGGAGATGACCAGAGACTGCGGACACAGCACAGGAGATGACCAGAGACTGCGGACATAGTACAGGAGATGACCAGAGACTGCGGACACAGTACAGGGATGACCAGAGACTGCGGAGGGTACAGGAGATGACCAGAGACTGCGGACATATTACAGGAGATGACCAGAGACTGCGGACAGCACAGAGATGACCAGAGACTGCGGACAGCACAGGGATGACCAGAGACTGCGGACAGCACAGGGATGACCAGAGACTGCGGACAGCACAGGGATGACCAGAGACTGCGGACAGTACAGGAGATGACCAGAGACTGCGGACAGCACAGGGATGACCAGAGACTGCGGACAGTACAGGGATGACCAGAGACTGTGGATAGTACAGGGGATGACTGCTGACCTTTGGGGAGGGGGGGGGGGGAGTGGGTACCTGAATTTGACAGGTACCCGCTCCCACTTCCGTGGAGTTGTTCTTTCATCTTGCCTGTATCCATGGCGCTCCCGGCATTACATGGCGCCGCATGACAGCCGGGTGCCCAGTGCGCATGAGCGAGAAGCACTTGCGCTTTGTGATTGGTCCGGCGGCTTCTGGGATCTGTCATGTGTCCCAGGTGCCGCCTTACCATTCACAAAAAGCACCGCTTCTTGCGCATGCGCACTTGGCACCCGGATTTCATGCCCACACTACAGAAGCCGGGAAGACCGCGCCGCTGGATAGAGGACCAGGTAAGATGAAAGAACAACTCCACGGAAGTGAAGTGGGAGCGGGTACCTGTCAAATTCAGGTACCCGCTCCCCCTCCCTCCCCAAAGGTCAGCAGTCATCACTATAAGGTCCCACTGTAGAGCTGAGCGGCCGGCCCGGTATTCTGACACGGCGGCAGTGGAAATACCGGACCGGCCACTCCATATTCGCTCCATAAGACGCACTGACATTTTCCCCCCTTTTTTGGGGGGAAAAAAGTGCGTCTTATGGAGCGAAAAATACGGTAAGTCTCTTTTCCAAGCTTTGCAGGCGGGAAGTGAATCAGAGGTTCTGTCACCAAGAAGCAGATAGGTAAATGATAATAAATGCCTCCGTGGTTCAGCCTTTGAACAGAGTGACTAAAAGAAGGTGTGAAGGGCAGACCCATTTATGGCGATATGCAGGAGAGAGAAGAAAATGTCTGATTTGAAGATAGGCCCAAAAGGGAAAGGTGAGATCACCCATAGTACTTGCCAGGGAAGAACAAGACTTCAGCTGACCTTTGTGAAAAAAATGGTTTGCTAAAACTTGACTGTGTGCCAATGTGCTGATGGAAAGGACTTATGCATACCGGGAGGGAAGTCCGGATTGAGGCGAAGAGAAGTTAGTGGGTTGGGGGCATCCGAAATCGAGGCCAATTTACAGGCTAAGCGAAATGTTTTAAGGGAAGGACCAATTATTGGATGTAGGAGGAGGTCTTGAGGAATGTGTTTGGTCAGAAAGCCACGGGATCGATGCCAAGAGGGAAGTGGAAAAAGAGTGTTCCAGCTGGACCCACGCTTTGGTGGTAAAGTGAATATTCCAATCGATTATCCTAGTAAGATGGCAGACCCGATGGTAGAGTTGCAGGTCAGGTAGTCCAATCCCCCCTTTGGATTTGGGGAGCACAAGTTGGGAGAAGGAAATACGTGGCCGTTTATGATTCCAGAGAAAAAGAGAGCACATTCTTCTGCATGAAACAAAAAAGGCGGGTGGTAAATGGATAGGTAAGGTTTGAAAATAGATAGAGGAATAGGTGAAATGGGAACTGTGACTGACAAAAGGAAACCAGGTCTGGAGGAAGAGTAATGTTTTAGGCATAGGATTTGGGAATGATTTAAATTTTGAGCGTTCGAGATATATTGAAAAAAGGAAAAATTCTTAAGTAGGTTGGCCCAAGGTGAGCCGGGGCTCTGTCAAAAACAAAAAATGTCGTCGTCTGCAGCAAGTTTGTATTCCTTGTTCGCCACGGAAATACCCCTGATATCTGGGCTTAAGCGGAGTTTGCGTAACAATGGTTCTAGTGATATCACAAAAAGAAGCGGGGATAGGGGGCAACCTTGACGCGTACTATTCCCAAGAGGGAATGGATGAGATAGATGCCCATTCACACGGACCTGAGCCATTGGACCAGAATACAGTGCCATAATGATATTGAGCATGGTGTCCTTAAACCAATCGCCTGTAGGGATGCCTTTAAGTAATCCCAGGGACACCCTATCAAAAAGCCTTCTCGGCATCTAAGGAAAAAATATAATCCTGGACTGCGAGAATCTCTGGAGCGAAGTGCTCTGTGTGCATGTTCCAGATCAATGGGTTGCAGCAGGTGGACAGTCCAGCAGATCATTGAAGATCGCAATTACTGTTTTGGGGATGTCGCTCGGCTCCACAGATTCAGGCAAAACCACGCAATCTGATATTATGTCTGCGACCTCTATTATCCAGATCTTCAATCTGTCTATAAAAATCACGGATATGAGATGTGTGCGATACTGACAACTGCTGGATCTCCACTATGGCATCAGCATTAGATCTGCTTGTGAATTCCACCTCCTCTATTCTTGTACTTAACAAATGAAGGTCTTCCCTTCGGTCACTGAGGGCTGTGGTAAAAGTAGGTTTAATGTCAGCTGCAACTGCCTGCAGATCTCTTAACAGATCATGTATGAGTGTCCTGATAGAGAGATCATGCTGTGGGACAGATTCCATGCCAGCCCAGTGTCTGTGCTCTGAGCACATGTTGTTGTAGTGGAGGGGAGGAGGGGAGGGAGAGGGGGATGCTGCATGTGGCCCTTTTCCCTGTTGCTGAGAGCAATCTGAACAGCTCCTGAATATGTCTGGATTGCTGGGTTTATGTGCCTGCGGAGAGCGGGAAGGGAGCCGATGACCTTCCGGTCCACTTTCCCCATCATGTAATGGCTCTGTCTCACCCACTCCTCTGCTAATATGAATGCAAGGTCTCTCTGGCTGGCAGGAGCTCCTGTATCACACGACTATCTTGGATCTCGGAAGACCACGCCCCCCCCCCCCCCCCCCCCCCCCCCCCCCCCCCCCCCCCCCCACCCCCCCACCTCACCCCTACAAACCATTCCACTTCATCACCATCCACTTATACCCCAAACCACCCCTAGGAACCCAATCCAGCCCCGTCCCTACACCTCCCATACCTCCTACCGCCGTAATCCAACCCCAAAC